AGTTTGCCAATATAGTGAAATTATTTTTATATAATATATATATATATTTAAAATATGAATACATATAATAGATAATATAATATATAAATATCTTTATTAAATTATATTATTAAGTGACTTTTTAAAATATTTGGAAATAACAATATTTTTTTATTTAAAATTACATTTCTATTTATATATTATGTTAGTTTAAAAATTGTTGGCATCCCTGTAATGCATATAATAATTGCAAGATATGCCGCTAGAGTACCCCTTTGCGCGCATGGTCGTAAAAGTATACAAGACCTATTGTATACGACACTACGTTGAAAGCTTACACAAACATACTTTTCACATAGATACGAATGTTGCGCACAGTGGCCCAGACTGACAGCTGGAAGAACGTGAAACAGGAGTGGCAGATCATGTAAGGCGAGTATCATTTATTTTATATAATAATATTATTTCGAGACAATCCAACTATTGTTGTATAGCCTGCCAATCCCTAGTTAGATGTTGGGAATTTCTCGTCTAATTTTATCTTATTAAGTATAATTGACACACCCGTTACATTTCGTTGTTGTAAAATAGCTTTTTAGTTTTCGTATTCGTGTAAACAGAACTATTATGTTAGAATCTATCGAGTATTAAGTGAATAATACCTTAATAATTTCATTGATCTAATCTAAGTTAACCCTTTCAGGGGCACTTAGTCATAGACTGAAACTTGATAATTCACGAGCAGACGCGCTACTAAGAATACATTAGAAGAGTTGACAGGATAGGCAGAAGAAAGCAGAGCAGTGGGGGAGGGGGTGGGAGAACAAGAGGCGGTATGACACGACCTCCCAATAATGACAACCTTATGACCTTCAAATTGGTCGTGGTTGGAGATGGAGGTGTTGGAAAAAGTGCACTCACTATACAATTCTTTCAAAAATTATTTGTTACTGACTATGATCCTACCATTGAGGATAGTTATATTCAACATACAGAGGTAGATAAACAATGGTGCATCTTAGATGGTAAGTCACATCATTAATAAAAACATTTACTTGTTTTATTGCATTTAATTCTACTATCCGCTAGTTTTGGATTATGCTTAGTGCATGGTATTAGATTTATAATACATTCTTATGTGTACAAAGGTTTATTTGTACTTAACAGTGTTAGATACAGCTGGTCAAGAAGAATTCAGTGCCATGCGTGAACAATATATGCGCAAGGGTGATGGGTTTCTATTAGTATACTCTGTGACTGATAAACAATCTTATGAAAATATCATGAATTTTTATACCCAAATACTTAGGGTAAAAGATAGAGATGTATATCCTATGCTTCTGGTAGCCAATAAAGTTGATTTGGTACATTTGAGAAAAGTTACAGAGGAACAGGGAAGGGAGTTGGCTCACCGGTTGGGTATACCTTATATTGAAACTTCTGCCAAAGACCCGCCATTAAATGTAGATGCTGCATTCCATGAGGTAGGGAATAAAAAATTAAAAAAAGAATAATATATATAGATAAAATAATTAAAATAATTAAAAAGAATAATATATATAGATAAAAATAATTAAGGGATTTGAATAATTTTCCTCTAGGTCGTTCGTATTATCAGAAATCAACCTCCAGCCGAGTTGGAAAAAAATCGGAGGAAACGAAGACGTTCGGGAAAATGTAATCTTTTATAAAGCTTGAAAACGTTGAAATGAATTGGGTAATGATTATACATTACCTTTCATCACTTCTTTCATAAAAAGTGAAACGCACCTGCCAAAAAACAAAAAAAAAAAAAAAAATGAAAAAATGG